ACGTTCATGTTCTTTGTTATTAGTATATCATCATCATGATTATCATCGCTATTATAATGTGACACGGACTCTGTGCAGGATTTGCGTTTGTATAATCATACGAATTTTATTTCCGTAATATAACTGCTGTATCCTCCCCTCGAGAGACTGACTGTATCACTTTTAATTATAAAGTATGTAGGAACCAAGTACGGTGGTCCCAGTGGGTTAAATATCACTTAACCTTGTTGGATACTGTCTTAATTTTTACAAACGTGTTAATTACGTATTTTATTTTTGTTGTTTAAAATTGTATTCCTTGATGTTTTACATTATATTTTCTACTTTGGGTCCTGATATTCTCGTGTTTCTGTATAACACGTCCTAGTGCGATCTAATCTTATGTGCTCTTCTACCCCTCCTGGATCTCGGTTACATTGACTTATTAATCTAAACTCGAAAGGATTGAAACAAAATTTTTGGCTGCGAGCATTAGATTAAGTGTATAGCCTAATCCTCTTCGTCATAAAATGTTACCATGTATTTCTATAGGAGTATTAAATATGTTGTTTTAAAACAATATATTATTCTTTCTTTTTTTGAAATTCCGGTATAATTTATTCGAGAGTATAACTGCGTATTCAGGTCTTACAAAGGATAAAGAGATAGTAGTAAAAGTATTTGATAGAAAATGACAAGGACGTTGATATTTCCGGGAAAGGAACATATTTCACTATTTAAGAAGTTCGAAAAGGGGAGAAATGTAAAATGTTACAAACCTCTGCATTTAATTAAAATATAACGATATTACGGCCTAAATTTGTGCGACTTTACTAGGTTCGGATGAGTCTCTTAAGTTAATTTTTGAGCCTCATATGAAGTAGGAGCACTGGTGCACCAGTATAAACCAAAATTAATTATTTCACTTTACTTATAGTTCAGGCACTCAACAGTATATAATTATTTCCCGAATTGTTCATGTATGTTCTTATAATAATATCCGTATTTTCTGATATATTACGACGACGATATGTACTCACTGTTTTCGTATACAGTTGTATATATCTCAGTTTTGTTTCAGTGTATTTACAGTCGACTGTTCTAATCTGAATTGTAATGAATTTTTCAACAGGCCGGACCTTCACACGTTCAGCAGAGTGATACTGACAAGTATGGGGTTGCTGTTTGAGTCACTGCTTCTGGATGTGGGGATCCTGGTGGCTTCTGTCCTCTCAGTGGTTTACGCCTATTTCAAGTGGTCATTCTCTTACTGGAAGAAACGTGATATACCGTATGTGGAACCGTCTTTCCCATTCGGAAATGTCGGGGAGGCGACTTTGGGACGGAGAAATATTGGATATGTAAACAGGAAACTTTACAATGATCTTGAAGGGCACAGATATGGAGGAATGTATATAATCAGCAGACCGAAATTATTTCTCCGAGACCCTGATTTAATTAAGGATGTTCTGGTTAAGGATTTCTCTACTTTTCATGATCGTGGTGTCTATATGAATGAAGAAATAGAACCTCTGTCGGGGCATTTATTTTCATTACCCGGAAAGCGATGGAGAAACCTTAGGATCAAGCTGAGCCCAACTTTCACATCCGGGAAGTTGAAAATGATGTTCCAGAGACTTGTAGAATGTGGAGACGAACTTAAACTTTGCTTGGAAAATATTGCGGGAAGGGGAGAGGTTATTGAGGTCAAGGACATTTTGGCTAGGTTCAGCACGGACGTAATTTCGTCCTGTGCTTTCGGTATCGAGTGCAATTGCCTGAAGAATGAAAACGCGGAATTCAGACAGTGGGGAAGAAAATTTTTCAAACCCTCACTCAAACGAATAATCATTGGAATGTTATCAACTGCAGCACCCGTTGTGTTAGACAAGCTAAAATTATCTATATTCGATTCGGACGTTTCTAAATATTTCCGCAAAATGGTAGAGGAAACAGTTCAATATCGCGAAACGAATAACGTGAAGCGCAATGATTTCATGCAACTGTTGATACAGCTTAAGCAGAAGGGCAGCTTGGACTCCGAACAGGGAGCTGAGGACAGAAGTGACGAAGAATTCAGTGGAATTGGTGAAACAGCAGATGGTATGTACACACTCATATAGACAGTGTCCCTTATAAATTTAGCTTCTATGTGTATTTACTTTCACGAAACTGGACTTAATACTAATATATTCAATTTACGTAAGCCTCAAGCGTTAGCACCTAATTCACTTTGGCGTCCTCACCACATAACCTTCAAATGCTCTTCTTACAAAGGGGCTACTTTAATAAAACAAAATTCAAGAGAATAAACAACCCGCTACTGATGCGTGAATGGGGGTATCATTAAAACCAACCTCAGAGAAAGAGATTTGGAGGGCGTGAACTGGATCGAGTTGGCTCAGTATTTAGTTAGACGTAGCAAAATTATAAAACAGCTTCAAATTTTATTACAGTGGATTTACTGACAAGCTGGGTATCTGTTGTAAGATTTGACTCTTTCACGGCAGTGACAATGAAGAATGCAGTCTTCTGGGATTTGGCACCGTGTATATGTGGTGTTAACCACCACATATACAGCCGTATCTGTTGCTTTGTGAAGGACTGCACTTGGTTAGTTCCGAACTTGTCTTACTTCAGCTATTTCAATTCAACTTTTATTAACTGCTTCACTTATTTTGGTTTAGTTACTTCAGTGAGTTCACTTAATTCTTTTAATTAATTTTGTAACATAAATTGGCAGAAATGACGCCGTTAACACGAATATTCTGACTCTTTATTTCATTTAAACTTGTCGCCGACATAGAGAGAATGACTACATAGCAGTAAAGGTACAATTCCAATGCAAATGTCTGCAGTGCTCTGGGGATGTAACGGAGTTCCCAGGTACACGCCTACTTTAATTGGTTCAATTCCTTCTACCGTCGTCAATTTAACTCGTAATTTTATTTGCTGATAGTGGTCAATTTTTATAACTCCATGCAGCCAAATTCTTCCTGAGAAGCTAACAGTCTAGCAGAAACTCAAGAATTTCCAAAAATGTTATGGAAACCGAAATCCCATTACCGCTTTCAAATCACCTTCCACTGTACCCTGTCCTAAATAGGTAAATCCAATATCTAATATGCCAACCTATACTCTAGATTCATTTTAATCTTATCCTCCACCAAACGTCTCGGTCTTCAAGTGGCTTCATTATTTCTGGCATTCTTATGCAATTCCATTGAGCGTCCCTTCTTTCTCCCATGTACGCTACATCCCCTGTCAGACTTATCTTCTTTCACTTCATCATTAAAATATTTAATTGTGTTAGGATTTTTAATTAAAGTCGTTACGTTAGTTAACTTCTCATGTGTTTTAATATCTTACACTTTCAACATTACTCTTTCGGTAAATACTACAATAAAAATTTTTCTTATGTAACAAAGAGTGCAGAGCACACACTGATACTACATACAACCGACAGAAAAATGAAAACTTTTCGACAGACCATAGCATTTATAGTTCAGTAACAGGTAAAATGCTCGTAGAATATAATGTGCACTAGTGTTTGTGCCCTCTGTACAATTGCGGCCCAACGAAATATATTTATACTTCAAAAAGAGCTCCCGCATGCCGACAAGTGTGGCGGGGAATGCAGTACAGGCGTTCTCAAAAGGAAGTAACTTCTTACCTCATTGTCTTGCATGGTGATGGTGGTTTATTCTAGTTCATGTTCACAAATCCGATGTTAAGTTTGAAGTGCCGAATGGCGGACTGTTATGCACTGTACACTTATACACGTTCACTGTTATATACATGAAGAGTTTACTTACATATTACACGGGTCTATTCTAAAGGGGCAACACCGGCAATGTCTGATTATTTTTTTTCTTCCAGCGGAACCCCAGTTTCAAAATAATTTTCTTTAATGTGGAGATGCATCCCTGAAACTCTAACGTTTTTTTTCAACTTTTCGTGAACTTTTTTCAGGGTAGGTCTCCGTTTTTCGACTATGTAGAAGTCATTAATTGTTCTTCGCACTACAGATTCGTTAAAGTCGTCCAAAGTGGCTAGTGAAGATTTCCTAGGTCTTTTTTATGGGATGTCGAAAAGGAAGTGGAAGCCCCAGTTCCGATATTTTTTGTTTCTCTTGTTATTCTTCTGACACTACTTTCCGATACACCTGTTGCCTTTGCTACTTCCATTCCTATGTTCTTCACTGTAATTGTTGGCCCACCCTCTTTCATATACTTATATACCTTACTAAGAATTTCTCTTGATTGTGAATTCAACACTTTTCCACTCAATTTACTTAGTTTAGGTGGCATGTTAAAGGAGACAGAAAAAATGTACAAATATATAAACAAAAAAGAAAATCAACGAATAAAAATTAACAATAAAATGGAATATTTTCACTGTCACCACTTGACTTCTGGCCCAATACTTCAATGCGACGTCTCAACTATCTTTGCCGTGGTTGGATCTTGTAACCGTTCTTTGGTTCTACTAGCTCCGGTAGAGAAATCCAACTCCTCTCAGGCCGTGTTGACTGGCCACGACTTAGGTGATTAATGGGGCATTAGGAGTAGGAAAGTCACACTCAACACCAATTAACTGTTTGAAGTCTTTATTAAATCTGCACTATTTAACTGGTAACTGCACCGTAGTGACACACTTCGCAGATCAGTGGATGTAGCTTCCTTACTGTTTACTAAGACACACACGTTAATAGTCACCACAGGGGGTGTTTACAGGGATCAGAACACGTGTACCCCCGGTGAACGTAAATTTCAGAGTCCTCCTTGCCAAGCACCCTCTGAATGGTAAATATTAGCCCTGGTAACCCAAAATTCGGGCAAAGGACCTCCCACTTCAGATTATGATTGGCTGGACCAGGCAGCCTGGGAGGTTGCTTAACTTTCTCCTCCAATTAGAAAAGCCAATATCCACGAGTGTAAAGTTTAGGGGTGAACTTTGCCACCTGCTGCGTGGCTGTCAAACACGGATTTTGGGGTAGCAGAAAACGACGCTGCTAAAATTGTGACTTCCCCTGTCAAGTTTAGAATTTCTAAAGAACTCGGCCTTGTGTTACGCATTAACTTGGCTGATTTACGGATGGGCAGCTGGCTTCAAGCTTGACCCAAGCCACTTGCTGCGAGTCTCAGGGGTGGAATCTAAAATTGTGAGAAGAAAGTGAGGAATTTCACAGAACCCTAACCATACACAAAAAATCACTTGACCATGCCATAAGCTGGACAGTTACAATCTCAACTGCCTTCGGCGATGGCTCTCCCAATACTGACTTCTTGCTGTCTTGTTGCTGTCTTCTGTCTCTGTAGCTCTCGGCTTATGTAGGTGTTCTGCGGACTGCATACCAGACACTATTCCTCACTGTTTCGTTTCTACTGTCCGCTGTTACGTAACGGGTGCAACGAACTCTCTGTAGTTCATTTCAGGGGAGACGCGTTCGTTGCTTCTGCATTGTCTACCTACACAACGGCTCCCTGTTCTTTGCGTTACCATGGAAGTGCCAATTCCAAACTCACGTGTTCGGCAAACCGTTGCCTCGGGAACGCTCCTTCGCAACGGTCTGTTTGAATTCGATTTGTCGCTGTTGGAACTCAACAATTTCTTTTGTAGCCGTTGCGCGGCGATGGACGTAAGGTAACGTGTCACAATACTAACACAGTAATTAGAGAATAATACACTCAAATACAACTCCTAGAGTCAAAATATTTTAACTTGACTGTACAAGGAAGGATGCTCTTGGGACGTCCGCTCGCACTGAATGCAGACGAATGACTAATAACAACACCCCTCAAATTTCATTAATGGACCTGCCCAGCCACTGCGCAGCTTTTCCTGGACTGTCAGCTCTAGGTGCTAAAGCTATACAGAGTGATTCGCGAAGTTTTACCCCCACTTAGGGAGGGTATTCCTGAGGTAATTTGGAACAAAAATGTTAATATACTAATGGTATCCGACTCATAATTAAAGAGATACAGTAATTTGAAAACTGTCGAAAAATCTTTTTTTCTTCGATTTTCAGTCAAAACAAATTAGAAATACAATACAAACACTTTTTAAATCGTTAATGTTTTAGGAAAGAAGCATTCTAAAACCATTTTTTTTTCAATTTCTTAATTTTGCTTTGTGCAACATTTTTCATCGATTTTATGTTACAAAATTATATTATTTTCAGCATTCCATTCTGTAAACATACCAATGGTCGCATATCACACCCTTCTATCAATCTGTTTCCTTTAAAGTGAAGTGCTTTAGAAGACGACTGGATTTGCTAAGATTTTCAAAAATGTCTCCCTGCACGTCAACACAATGCGTCGCACGCGTATGAACCGCTCTGCCTATCTACCTACGCGCAATATTCATACCGGTCTACCTTATCTGCTGACATAGCTGACTGGAACGTATGGTCGCCCACGCTGAAGCATAGCGCTGCATTCACAATGATGCGTTTGAAAATCTATTGTTGCTCCGTAACTATTGAAAATCGACCAAAAGTTTATAAGGAAACCAATTATCAATAGAACCTCCGTCGAGTGTAACAATATATATTCTTGTCACCATTTTCTCACATTTGCCTTACATGTTTCGGCTCACAAAGCACAATACACTACGCGTCGGACACAACCGACCACAAGCCCACACAACCTCGTGCTGACGCCTCCCCCATTGGGACTATCCACAAAGAGGAACCTGAATATTTTACTTGGACGGTTTTAACTTTAATTTTAACATTAACGACCCGCTTTGTGGGTGATATTTTAAATGCAAATGGGATACCAGCACTCGGGGTACTGGATGTTGTTGTGTTTTACGCTCCGATACGTGTAACATCTTTCACAAAAAAACTGTATATTGTGATTGTTGAGCAGTGCAAGTGTTTCCATGTTTTTGTTGTGGATGCCTCTGATGATGGCTCTTTGTGAGCCGAAACATGTAAGGCAAATGTGAGAAAATGGTGACAAGAATATATATTGTTACACTCGACGGAGGTTCTATTGATAATTGGTGATTGATAGTGTAACGGACCAAAATGAAACAATTCAAAATTTGTAAGGAAATTTTGCAGGAAATAATCCCAGGAATATGTACCATAAGCCGGGGTAAAACTTCGTGAATCACCCTGTATATACAGAGTGTCCCAGGAGGAATGTGACAAACTTCGGGAGGGTGTTCCTTATGTTATAATATGCCGATACAACCCAAAACACCTATGTCCAAAGTTGAACGGTTACGGAGATAATGGCTCGAGAAAAGTGTGGCGTTATGGCGGGTCCACGCACTGTACATGTCAGCTGGCTACTCTTATCTGTGTTTGTCCTTGAGTGTGGTGATGGCAGCTCACGTTAGCCCGATACACCCGCACACCAGAACGCGCAGTCACCAAAGTTACGTCAGGGCTTGCCATTCATGTGTCATGTATAGTGCTTGGAACCCTTAACGACAAATTTGACATGGCGTGCGAGTTCTTTGTTGTTAAATTTAATGGCTTCATGTGACTCACAAGTTAGTTTGATGTTACGTACATTATTAACATTACAGAAACCACATATTCCTACCAGTTTTAATATGTATTTGGTAATCAACAAGTGTGTAACACCGGTCAAAGTTTCACACTTCTCTGGCCATTATCTCCGTAACCGTTCAACTTTGGACATAGGTGTTTTGGGTTATATCGGCATACTTTAACATAAGGAAGACCCTCCCGAAGTTTGGCACATTCCTCCTGGAACATCCTGTATATATATCATTTTCTCTCTTCTATGTGTTACAATGGAGAGCTTAATATTCCAATAATGTCTCTTAGCCGCTTGGCTGATAGTTAGTTTCTGGACTGTACAAGCATGTACCATTCTACAGGTCTGTCAATGAACTCCCTGGCTGCCCAAGCTTTTGTCTTCTTCCTTGCGGGTTTCGAGACATCCTCGACTACCATGATGTTTTGCCTGTACGAGCTTTCAGTAAACCCAGACATACAGGAGCGCCTGCGCACCGAGGTCGACACGGTGCTGGAGAAACACGACGGGAAACTCTCATACGAAGCCGTCCAGGAGATGAGCTACTTGGACAAAGTTGTATCAGGTAGGAGAAACGGCACGACATTCTCTCCTACTGTTGTCTGTGTGTCGTATTATAAGTTAGTTTTACAAGCGTCGCCCTTTCCCACACTGAAGTGATGGCACGGACTGTATTACCAGGAACCGATCCCCGAGATGAGAGTTGAAATTGTTCTCTGCACCACCGTGACCCGTCTACTGTTTAACGGATATAGGGCAGAAGGTTCTTTTCACGGTAACAATTCAACCGGCGTGAGAAGCATGATCGAAACAGCTACATCTGAACTTTGCAAGTAAAACCGTTAACGAATATACTTACTGTTCGTCTGTTGAATAAGACTGAAACTGAATAATCAGATAAATAGATCAACATTAAAAATATCAATTTTTTAATTATTATTAGTGGATGAAATCTTATATATAAGAGTCCCCCTCTCCTTCCTAGCCCCATTAAGCTTATGACAGAGCGGAAACACCAACAGATGACTTGCTATTTATTCAACAGCTAACGTCGCCATGACGATAGGAAGAGTAACGTTTTTTGATCAGACTTTACGAAATTATACTTATATTTGCCATACTTCACTATGTTTTGTATAACTTTTACTGTCATATGGTAGATGTACAAAATAACGCCACCATATATGGCATTTTTAGAGACATGTTTGTAGTGAGTAAAACAAATTAATACACCCCGAAATAATTAAAAACAACATATATGAAGTTTCATTAAGATGTGCATTTACGCGATACTGCAGCCTCATGCAGGAAATAACACCGTACCCTGAATATGACCAACTCATGAAACCACGGGAACATGGGAAGAAACTTCATGAAGAGTGATACTCTGCCTGTCTCTGACGAAATTCCAACGTTTTAAAGTCGATCAAATAAATAGTAGAGTTTATAAAAGTAAATAATATTCTGCATTAGTACGTCTACAAACGTTGGGGGAATAGAATGTTTGAATAGTGGCAGATTAATATCGCGTCATTATGAGTAATACAAGAACCAAAATTCTTTCTTCTTTCGCAGAAAATCCTTTGAATTCTAGGTGAATGCATACTAGAATAGAACCTAAATATAGATATCTCTAATGTTAGCGCTCTTGGTTTAAATTAAAAATTTATATTTCGTGTAAGAAAATACTCTGTGTATTGTGTACACCAATAAACATGACATTATCCATCGAGGACCAACCAAAATGTTACATAATTATGGTAATACCTTATTATAACGCATCAAGACATTTAGATAAGCTGCAGTTTCTTGTCTCCCTTAAATAACAGACGACCACCTGCATGTAGCGCACCAAGAATAAGGAGCTCTTGCAACTAGACTAGGTGAGCAAGCCGGTCAGCCGTACCGCATCATTCAGTGTGAGCCTTAGGTACATGCTACTCTCTAATACTGGCACCTGCCATCAAAGACACGTTCACTTTTTGCGTCTTCCTACCTTAGTAGGTCACGTAGGAGTTAGCAGTCTTTTCTTTCATTATTTTTTCTTTATTTTGTGAATGTTGATAAGACAATCGTGCTACTACTTGTGTAGTTCCTATTCTGTAATTTTGTGCTGAGTAACTCAAGATTTGGAATCCCTTCCTCTTCAAAATATAAATCCCTCAAAAAGAGTTTTTTGCCAACTTAAACTGCGAGTGAAGTAAGGTGTTTACGAATGTGCTCTAAAACGAACTCAAATCGATGATTTTATGGGACCATCCGCTTAGACGTGGCTCAGTCTGTTACCGTGCCTTTGCAGACACTGCGTGCGGACGTAAGGACTACAGTGCACTGCCTGTGAACATTGGAGATGGCTGATAAGAACTCGCATAATTTTTCATAGTAAGGTTCCTGTGAATGAATTCTGTCATCATTACATTTCTTTTCAAATCAGCGTCCACTGCAAAACATTTCATGTCTTGCTGACATAGCGATTTGATTTGTTTCGTCATCCATAAAATCATGATGGGAAACAGCAATTAATGTTGCTGGACAAATAATTTACGAACAACATGTCTCACATCAATTCCGTGACATTCACTTCAAGTGCATTTAACGGCTTGAAAATTCAAAATCAAATACATAGGCATATTTTGTGACTAGTGACCAATTACCCTCTGACGACGCTCGCCAATTGTATTCGAAGAAACATCACTTAACTGTCAAAGTGTGCGACAGGTCCCTCACTTACCCTGTGCATGGACACACGTGACATCATTATTACTTCAATACATGTAATTCACATTAGTTCAGTCATGTTACACTTATTTATTCTTTACTACATAACATTGAGTAAGCTGATGAAAGTATAGTATAGTATGCCAATCACAAGTACACAAGAAGAAACGGCGGAAGGTAATTAACAACAGATGTCTATAAGCAAACCACTTTATAGCCCTTACGTTTGGCGCCACTTATTTGTAACCGTTTCTCGATGTCTCCACTACTGACCCAACGTTGATGAGCGCCACTTCGTAACTGCCTTCTCACCTACCTTTTGTTTAACTAAATTTTTATCTTCTCTCTTGTACTAAATTTTATCTCAGGGTTATTTGATTTATAAAGAGGTGAGGTTTGTTGGTTCGGTAGAGCTTAGGTTCTCTTATCTCACAGCCTTGAACGGGCCACAACTAGAAGAAGCAAGAAATGAACACAAACTACAAAACACATATAAAGTTTAGATATATTATTATTAAACACTTATTTAGTCACTTCTTAATACTGTACAACTGACTAACACCAGCTATACTTTTACTTCTTGTCTCTACAAGATCCGGCGTGTAACTTTTACATCTGATTTCTACGAGGGCTGGTGTGTTACTAACTTCGACAACTGACTTCCCTTCGAACCATCAAGAATATGTTCCACCAGCGTCTCGGCTCTGTCACGCCATAAATTTTTAGTGACTGGTCAAATTTAAAAAATAGGAGTCTCTTAATTAGCTATTCCTCCAATCTGTTTAAAGTTTACAAGGGGTTTAGGTTTCTGAGGTCCAACATACGTATTTCCGGTCAGAATCTTGACAAATGTGAAGCTTGGCTTGGGTCATTAAAACTTCAATATTTTAAGTTATGGCATGCACAAGTTGTCGAGTATTGAATTCACAAAAGATTTCGTAGTTACACTGTCACGTATAATTTCTAAGAACCATGCGAAGGTGTGTCTTCCTTTTTCTGCTGCACGTGTGGGAAGACGCTAACTCTTACATGCAAGAATAGACCTATATCTCTCTACACTTGTTCAGTGCATCTCATTGTGAACAATTACAATTTCTAATTAATAAAATTAATTACATTTAAATAGTTTGCATAGCAGTGGAACGGTTATATGTCCTAAAAATTCATGACGTATAATATACCTTTTTCACGTTAAGTTCAATGTCAATTTCCCAGAAATTCTGCATCAAAGTCAATCACTTGACATATGAACACAGATTTTCGAATGACCTCACATAATGACTCTTGGAATCAGAAAGTAGTTCAAAGCATGCAGTTCGCAGTTTAGATCCACTTTCGATCATATATGAACAGGTTTGAGCCTAGCCCCTGAAGAAAATATGCTGAAAAAGAAACAATAAAAACGAAGCGAGCAGGAAAAGAGACAAAAGATTAGGAATATTATACCCAAGGAAATTGGCAATACGCCATTAACATTTATCTTCAGTTTAACTGTGACCTACACATTGATTGCTGAATTGATGAAATTAGGCGATAGAACCACAAACTCTATGCAAATATCTGAGATTAAACAAATATTTCCTTTTCAGAAACTCTTCGAAAATATCCGCCAGTTACATCGCTAGACCGCGAGTGTTCGAAACCGTACAAAATTCCTGAAACAGACATTGTTCTGGACAAAGGAACCCGGGTTGTCATACCCGTGATTGGTCTTCACCACGACCCTAAATATTACCCCGATCCTGACAGGTTTGACCCCGAACGGTTCAGTGAGGAAGAGAAGCAGAAGAGACACCATTATGTCTACCTTCCTTTCGGAGAGGGGCCCAGAATTTGTATAGGTAAGTTCCACCCATCAGTAAGTATTTGATAAAAGTGTTATTGAATGTACAGGGATCATATTAAGTGATAATTATCTTCGCTTCTTATTCAGATATTAGCCCGTTGTTTCTAGAACATCAGTCGCTCCATTTCTAATGCTGATTCAAGTGAGCTTTTTTCATTTAGGAACGATATTTGCTATTGTTATTCTAGCAATTAATGACTGATTACTGAGTTCATTTATTCTATTGTTTACCCACTTTCTGTGCTCTGGATGACATAATGGTGTAATGTTTTGACTTTTTGACTTATGAAATGCACCCATGGCCTTCTAAGAATCCATAATAACAGACAATGATTCTGTTCATTTCCATATAAACTCACATTTATTTCTAGTTGCTCATTGCATATTCTGGTTCGGTATTTTATTTACGCACACCCGACTCTAATTTTCATTGTCCTTTAGATTTAAGTTTTTTTTTAATTTACTTATTCATAGGATATTTTCTGTCGCATATGCTAATAATATTCCTAGTGATATTTACAGTCAATCCTGAATTTCGTTATATTTGAAAAACCTGATTTTACCTTCAATACTTAATATATATATGGATCCTGTTGATCTTTGTTGGGTTATAACGTCTCTTTTGAATTACGAATTCTTTTGCTCCAAATTGACTTACGTCTGACACTCATTCCTCATCCAGAGGAAGATATTTCATTACAATTTAATATTAACAAAGCGTTAAAGTTTAAGTGTAGTCAATTGGGTATCATTGCTTTATATCTGTCTGTGTCCACATAAAGCATAAGAAGAGTGAAAAAGAATTCTTTTATATAGTATCCACACCATAACAATCTTCATTTTGAAACTCTATAGCTGATATTTGTTATTGTAGGTACATATCTATTATTGTAAAATTGCAATACACAAATCACACGGAAGAGAATAAGTAATTAGTTCTAATTATTTCGCTAAATACACGTCAATTTACAGATATATCGGATACAGAGCACGGCTCTTAATGAAATCCCGATTGCACGTTTTCTGCCAGTTTTTGTATGATGAGTAGTTGTTTAGCACATTTTCACGTGTAGTAGCGACTCTAAACAGGATATTGGATTGCATATTGGATTTACTGATCAGTTTAACACTCTATTCGTAATTTCACTTAATTACAGAGCCAACTCATATTTCCAGACTTTACCAAATCACACTAAGTCTATTACAGGCGTCAGTATCTTCACTAGTAGTTGCATGGTAACGGCTCCAATAATGGTTAATCCTCTGCTTCCGTACTGATGTCTTCTCTGAAAGGCGGCTCCTTTCCAGCTGCCTCTTTTCTTCACAGACTCCTGCACAGAACTTTCAGCTGTCTAGCTCCCAGGCTGGCGGCCATTTGGCTCAAACTCCTACTCTTTTCTTCACAGACGAAATAACCAAGCTTTAAACTTCTCCCTTGTTTATAACATCTCGGCACTGAGCACGCAGAGATTACAGTTTCTCGGTTGCATGTGTATCCGTGTTTCCCGAGACGTTCCATAACAGCGGACGTCTATTTTTATCTATTAAGAATTTGCTTCCTAACAACTGGCGTCGTTCCATTGTCTGTTTTGCGGCCTTTACATGAAAACGAATGTTGTTTCAGATCCTTTCTACAGCAACGACTCTTTCTCTGGCTATACAATTCTTGATTTAAACAAAAATGCCTCAATAACGATGAAGGTTATTATAAAGTACTTTTAACATTGCTTAGTATACCATATGTAGACGAAAATTCCAAAGTTTCAGAAATGAAACGTACTTAAACACTGAAGGACAGGGTCTTTCTTATATAAATTATTGTACTGGAGCGTCATATTATGTCAGATATACGTAGTATACTTACTGCAGCTGAAGAAGGCTCTCCTGTAATTCCCCACATGCGTTCATTTTGTTCGCAGAATCTGTAGAGCCTTTCTGCAACTGCAAAATTTGTATATCAGTTAGTACGACAACTTAATTTAGCACATATCATTTGAAAGTTTATGTAGCATACACATTGTTATATGTAGGCCAAATACTAGGCAACGCTCGAAATATGTGGATTCAACAATAGAAAATGTATTGGGAGAATTGTTTTCTATCTGATCCACGCTATGTTTAGTGCTGAGCAACGAACCAACAGACACACACTCTAAGAGAAGAGGTGTTTTCTATATGGTTCGCGCCACGAGAGACTGTTTTAATTCCGTCACCAGGATAAGACTAGTGAAGATGGAGATTCCTAGTGCGTGTGTAATGGTGAACCGTAAATTGTGTAAGTCAGGGATAGTGCTGTATTCCTTAGTTGATTCCATATGGTGTTAATGAATCTAACTACCAATCCAAACTCCGTCTATAATCAATAATATATGTGACCAATATAGAGCTCAAAATTACCAAAATACACTTTTATGTCACACTTAAAAAAATCCAGCAATAAATCCCCAAGTTGCCATTCAGTTGGTATAACGCCTCTTCATTCGTGCATCCAAGAGAAAAGAAATAAAAATGATTAAAACATAGAATTTTTGTTTCTCGACTTACTAACCAACATGTAAACATTGGTTCCAGGGATGCGGTTCGGATTGATGCAAACCAAGGTGGGGCTGGTTTCTCTTCTGTCCAAATACCAGTTCAGTGTCAGCAAGAAAACTCCTGTTCCTCTGGTGTTCGATGCCAAGTCATTCATACTGGCTCCTGCTGGCGGGATGTGGCTGCAAATTAAAAATAGGAACATGAAATAAGCTGAACACCTGCTCTGAATGCAAGCAATACAAGCCTTTACGACACTGCACATTCGTAGACACGCCACCGTTCTTAATCCAAAAGTTCCAATGATATAAATATGTATTAGTTCCAACTACCCTAGGGTTTAAATATGACAGTGGATGAGTGGCTGTTTGTAGTTTCAAGCAAGACAGAGCTACAGGTTTGTGATGCTACGGGAACTGATTGTTCAAGTCCAACATAACGGCCCACTACTCTGTCGCTTGATACGATTAAGCATTTTAAAAGTTAAATCTGTGCAAAATTTGAAGTTTTAAATCCTCTTCTCTCGTTAGGGAAAACTAAACAAAGGCGTGGATTGTATTGTTTTACAACAAGTTATTCCAAGTTTGAAGTCAGTGAAATAAGGCTATCTCTCTAGTATGTGTCACTGACAAGTTTCAATCCACACGTGACAATCCCTACTTCTGTATGAGTAGCAGACACAAAACTTCTTAATTGAATCATAGAACAGTACCCGTCATCGTAGGAAAGTTTACTTTTATGCTACTATAGATAATAAACATTAGAACAGCCTTTTATATTCACTATATATTGTTGTATAACAGTATTATTAAATGATTGATATTCAGTTCCTTAGGAAGTTTGTAAAGTTATATATATATCACTCAAAATATGGGAAGTTGAAATGTGTTATTAAGCAATTTGTATCCTTAATTTGTTATCTGTAACCAGCGCGGGCTGCTACAACAAATAAAGTTTAATAGATTACAGAAGAGCAAACCATATCTACCTTACTCGTACTATCGTGGCTGGTCTCAGCATTCACCTGGGGAACAGATCCCTCGAGACGCAGCAGTTGTTCATCTTCTTTGATAATCTCCCCCCCCCCATTTTATGGAACCAGAAGATTCATTTTCGTATTCACAGGAGTTTTCAGTTATTTGGTTGACTTTTAACAAGCTATCTATAAGAATATATTTTCTATTAAGAGCGAAATATTAAACGAGGTAGATAGTAAGTAGCAGTAAGGTTTTGAAATTTCAAACAGGTACGCAGCTTTGGAAAACTTAGACACTAAGATGTATGTTAATAAAGCTTGGGAAACTATTAAAGAGAATAGAAGATTTCCCCCCAAAGAAAGTCTAGGTTATTATGAATTGAAGAAATATAAACCATAAGATGCTCACAATTATTAGACCGAAAGAAACAAGAGAAACTTGTTGTTACAGGATTCAAGCGAAAAAATGTTGAGCGTGCAAGGAACAGTAAGAACAAGAATATTAGAGAACCGCAGATTTAACTTAGTGAAGGATGAGAATGGTGACCGTAGGTCAGTACGGTGGTTTACCTGATGAGGCATATAATTTTAGTTTGGCTGATACTGACTTTCACTTAGTTTGCAGTGCGTCAACTTTGTATAGCGTATCTGACTGTCTAGGTTGCAGTCTTCGGGAGATTTAATGGCTTGGTAGATCTTAATATGATAGCGTGAATGGCCGTTGCTGTGTAATGATCGTGAGATTGCTGGCTATATTAGAAAATTTCTTGGCAACTTCTGATAAACACGTCCCAGCTGCAATGACTGTACATGCAACGGCGGAAACGGTGCGCGCAGAGGAGTTACCGTATTTACGCATGTATAGGCCGCCTGCGTGTATAGGCCGCAGCACAATTTTCAGACAGAAAATATAGAAAAAATAATTTTCTTGGAATATTATTTCAGGAGTAGAACACTCTGTATTACTAATTATGAATATATTTTTTTTAAAATGAAGTGTGATTTCGAATATTTCGAATATAAGCCGCACCCCAGTTTTCCTCTTGAATTTTTGGCAAAAATTGTGCGGCCTATACATGCGTAAATACGGTATATACAAAGAACTGGGGCAGCCAGTTCAGTTAAACTCTGCAAGAGGGGCTGAAAAGAGGAAAAGGACCTACATTTGAGTTGACAGCTGACAAGACTTCTGCACGGACGGCTGTGATTAAGGTATCTGAGAGCGTGAAGCTGAAAAATATCCGCTGTTAGTAGTCATCAGGGAACATACGGTGAAGAAGCAACAGGCTGGAAAAGACTTTGCAGGTGCTGTGGTGGTTTGTGAAATTTGGAAATCTGAGAGAGCGTTGTAACTGCTAGTAGTTTCGAATGGTGCATATAGGTGGTCAATAAATCCAAGCACCAAACAAAACCCCGTCTATAATCACCCCTAAATCATAACAATATTGAAGAAAGCAGTTTTCTGGGATTTGGCACCGTGTTCCAAATCCCAGAAAACTGCTTTCTTCATAGTCACCGCCGTGAAAGCCTCAAATCTTAGGTAACAATATTGTCAGCAAAATGTAGATTTTTAGCTTGAGGAATTGCATCACACACCATCAAAACCCTTGAAAAGTAAGGTAACAGAACAGATCCCTGAGGAACACTGAAGTTAATTTCAAAAGGCGAAAAAATAGTATCTGAAACCCAAAACTAAGATTTCCTGTTGTATAGGTAACTGAGAAAACAGGTTTGCATAGCTATCAGAAAGTCTAAACAAGTAAGGTGACCAAGAAGCTCAGAATGTGGAACAAGGCAAAATGCATTGCTTAAATCAAAGTGAAACTTAGGAATTGTAGTGTGTTTAAATATGCGTCCAAAGCCATGCAACCCGAAGCATAGTGGAGCAATCTGCAATAGCACTACAATTAGCTCACGATAATGAGACCTGTAGTTAATTTACCTCGCATGTAAATGACTGGTTAGAATCTGGTTGTATTGTGGTCATGTTATATAGAGGTCCAAATTTTTGTCGAATTTTGCCTCGGCAGATGTAGCGGAGAATTGAAATTAAGGATATGTTTCGGATCAAATTGTTGTCACGTGCTTGTAATGAAGCTTTTTTCGGACTTAAAATAACGAAAGCAGATATAAGGTATATAAACGCGATAATCTCTTCCGTTGTATTAATATTGTAACTTGTTGAGGTCTACTGAAGACGCCGTTCAGATTGCTAACTGCCACCTCAGAGATAGCCGGGTATCCACTCCTTATTGCCAACCATAACGTATCCAAAGGCACTTCGAGAAGTTTTATTTCCAATGTTCTGCTTTTAAATCTGCTACTTCCTCTTGTATATTAATCGGAAGATGTTCTGATTTCACAACAAATGGATCACGAACCCAGTCGGAATCTTGTACACTCTCTCCAAAATACTTGTTGAATTTCTGCTGCAGCATTTCTAAATGTTCTTTGTGTCCATCACCACTTTACTGCCGTTAGCAAGTGGCCATACAGTCGGGGACATCTCAAACGACCCATCTGTAATTCTCTAACTAGCAACCAAAATTTGCAAACTACTTCAGAGCACAGCTGTGATAGAACTGAAACAATTGTAAAACGCGGGATCTCTACTCTTCAAACGGAAGAAGTGACACTATATCGACTTATTTTTTAAATATTTATAATTTTAAATGAAGTCCAACAATCGGTGGGTACATCGTTACAAGAAGAAAGTCATAAATTTGAAGAAGCTCTAACTTCTAACAAACAGGGACAAATACAAAAACAGCGTTATAAACTACAGGAAAACCCATGCTAATCCCTGCAGTTTTAGGGAAAAGCACGTACACAGAACATGCGGCAAGCATATCAAAGAAGCTGCGCAGATGCGAGAAAAATAAAAATAAATCAATAATGAAAACTATGATATAACAACAATTGTGAGTAAATAATTTACGTTTAATTTCTTAGAATATAACATTACTGTACATAAAAAATCACAGCATGTAATAAAGAATAAACAAGCATCATCTTATTTAATCAGTGCAGTGGCTGAGAATAAAATACAAGCATATGATACACGGTAACTGGGATAGAATAAAACGAATAAAATTCGACAATTAATATCTTACAATAGGAAAAGTTCGCGTCACACCGGCTGCGGAACATTGGTCTAGATAGTGTGGGACCCTCAACGTCTCGCAACCCTATGGGCATCCACATCCTGGTACAAGGATAGCTTTATTTTTTACTTTTTTTAATATTTCGAAAGACCAGGTAGTGCATTGTACACATTGTTTTCACCAGTTAAAATAATAGACCACCTATTTGAAATATGAAGGATTAAACGTGAACATGTCTCAACCTGAATAACAGTCTACGAACTGAAAATTCAACTCTCCTTCTCTGTAATGAAAAATGAGTAGATTTCTATTAATTCGAAAATAGCGTTAACATTTGTTTTGCCAGTAAACGCAATTATCCTGTTTTTAGCCCAAGGCCCCAAAAGTTTCGGACAGTATGAATGAAAGTTCATCTTAAACCAATCCGTGCTCTAAGACAAGTTTCCTGAATTTTCCTTCGTAACACGGCTGCCGATCAATATGAGAAACCCGCCAAAGCCACCGTAAATATGAAAACGACTCGAGCAGCGTTCGCTAATTCGTTATTTCACATTTAAGGTTCTCAAAGCGGTGACCACGAGGGGTGCGATCTTCTGGGTTATAATGTCGTGTAGTTCGTGAAGTTTACCGACGTTGCGGAGGAACATATCGCCTCTAGTTTCAGATCCAAGGAAAGTCCAGAAAGAAGTCAGTGACAAGCAGGGCTTCTTAGCCGGCTTACACCCTGATCACGAAGATGGAGGCGATACGATTCTCCTAACCGTTGGAGGATTACTACCAAACTATTGGGCGTTACAACCCAGAAGTAGTAATCTCGAATAAAGAATCCCAAGTTTGTAAAATTGTGTGTGTGTATTCAAATATTCTTGCCAATGTGAAATTCAAAATATGACGGCCGCATAGATTTTACGGGAGGACACCAATAATTCCGAAGAACATCGAGAAAACGAATTTTGGAAACAGTAGACAAAAGTAAGATAAAGCTGCCCCTCTATCAGACCGTGGAGGTTCCCACATTTTCTAGACAATCAACTCACATATGAGGATGAGGTTGTCAGCCTTACGTGCCGGCTGCTCTGCATAGTGAAAAATTTAGTTCAAACAACCATAAAAATATGCATTTATATCATGTAATTATATTTACATACTTTATACACAAATATTTTCAGCAGTACCAGAGAAAGATATATGTCAAAATACCTCGAAAATACAAACAAGAAATAATTCACTTTAAGGACACCACCAGCATTTAGTACAACATGGGACTAAACAAGTAGCCTAGCATATAAAATGTAGTAGACTAGGATCACCTGCAGTCTGTTGGTTGTTCTGGGGGATCTATTAGCAGCAATTATGGTGTGGTTAAGTATATAACGACTGTTACAAACATACATCCATACAAGCAGATCGTTTCAATTTTGAATCCCCACTCTTACCTGAAAGCTCTTTGGTGTCGTTATGGGGGTTATTTTTTCAGAGCAGTGACCCAAAAAATTTCAATATTTTCCACTTTATTAAGCTAAAGTTAAAAAATTTATCACAAGATATGAAATCATAATTGTGAATAAAATAATCTGAGTTTTCAATGTTCTGCTTGCCATACCTTTTAATAATAAAGGCACAAAAACAAAATTACAACATTTGGATGTTTGGAACTAAATGTAAACATTGAGGAAAAGAATCTATATTTAAAATATAATGACCGTTTTGATACATCTATGTGAATACAAACCTAGGTACCAAGAGAATAATATTACATGGATCAGAAATTAAATTCTGAGGGCAGTAGTTAGCTTCACAGTGTGTTTGATAAAATAAACGAGAGCCAAACCACAAATTAGAAGTTAATCACCTTAGGAAACCTTACCTTGTTCTAATGAATTCTGGCATG